TATTAAACCCAAAATCAGACATTTATTACATTGTAGCTTACTATATACGCCGGCAGATACGTAGTTTTGTTTATTTTAAAGCCATATGCTCACAATTTTAAGGCAGCTGCTGATTTAGTGATGAATACTTTCAAATCTTTCTTTCTTCTATTTTGAATGCAACTGGTGTTCCAGCTAGTAAGCTCTCTTCCAGATTTACAGGAATGAGCCAAATCCATTTAGGACAGGAAGCCTGGGTTGCTTACAATTCTCAGCTTTTATTTTTTTTTTTTCATATAAAACCCAGGTTTTATTCCATATAAAAAGCAAAAAAGTTTTCTGTTCTGGGTGATTAGAAAGCGTGAGCATGGAGTTAGGATTTGTTTTGTATAATATTGTGATGTATGCATTATTAAAGGCTGGGCTAGTATTATTAAGGCGGGATTAAAGCAGTATACCCCCAGACATTTACCATATTGTGTTACTATGTCTGCTGTGTGGCTCATGTTCCTTTCTTTCAATCCAGAGTGGGGACATGCTAAAGCTACAGTAACAGTTTATGATCACCAGGTGAAAATGCAAGAAATAAATCCTAAAATATCCTTAAAAGAAAAGTGTATTGCAGCTACCACATCTAATGATATATATATCTTCCCCCCAGATTAGATTAGTAAACAGGATTTCTAGGATTTCTCTCCATCTATCATCCAGCCCCCATTTCTTTTTCCATTATTTTTAAATACATAATTTTTTATACACCTCTGTGGAAGCCCCCCAGGATCTAACAAATGCCAGGTGGTCTCCAAAGGTGAACCAAGGGAAATCACCTGTTGACTAGGTTACGTGTATTTGTGCATACACCGCAATCCTTGTAGGAGTATTTACATGTACCCAGCTAGATCTGAGAGTTCCTACACAAAAGAGGTAGTTCCATCTGCAATATACATTTATTGATAGAGGTAAAATAATATATACAAATTACACGCTAAGCAGTATTTACAACACAATGTACCGTTTAAATCTCTTGACTTATATGATATTTACAATTTACCCACAAAAGCATGTTTAAAATACAATGTACAATACAAGTATGAAGTTTGTTTACCTCTCAACTTCAGGTCTGGTCATGCTGCCTGCTGTGTGTCCCAACACAAAGAGACCCCCAGCTTGGTGGCCAAGCCTTATATCCCCCCCATCTTTCTGTACTGTAGCTAATATAATGCTCCTTAATTTGACACTGTACCTAGCCAATGCATATTGGGCACAGCCTGATTGGAAGTTCAAAGAAGGCCGCTGTTTACAACTCGTGAGATATGCTAAGGGGACAACAAAAGACCAGAACTTATATAGTGGAAAACTATATACATTTACATCAGTATGGAAGCTAGGAATAGTTTGATGCTGCAAAGCACTCAATTGTTTAGATACTGTATATTTCAATCTAACTAAAATATACTTGTAATTATAATATTATTTACATCCATTAATTGAGATTTCACATAAACTCATTATCTAACATACCCAATGAACAAAGAGGAGAGGGGAATGGGGCAAGACTATATCTCTTGTACAACCTGTCCTAGATTACCAAAGTAGAGTGGGACAGTTGATATATGAAAACTGCTAACCCCCTAAAGGAGCTTTCAAGCCAGGGAGTGTGTGCTAGATTACTGTTTGCCATCACTTTCTCTAAGGCACCCTTAAATTGTCAAGGACTTTTGATAATTACAGCTAATAATACACATCAGTGAATTAGCCTGATAGTACAGCAAAAAAATCAGGTAACCCTAGACCTCCTCTATCCTTGACTAAATGCAAAAAATTGTATGATAAGTGGTGGAGGGGGAGGGTCAATACAACCGCAGTGAATACCTGATGCACCTGTTGGAAATAAGTCTTAGACATTTTTATAGGGGCTGTTTGGATGAAGAACAAAAACCTGGGAAGGACTATTATTCTTAGGATATTTATCCTGCCAAGCCATGTAAATTATGCTTTGTCCCAAGTTTTTAGATCCTCCCTCATGACACATAACAGAGTTGGAAAATTAGTAAAGTATAGCTTGTGGGGATCGATTAGTTTAATGTTAAATAGGAACCTGAGATGGTTTTCCGATGAAAGGAAAATGATGGTTCCTTATTGTGTCCATCATTGGTGAAATATTAGGGACATATTTATGATTTAAGTTAATATTGAAATTAGAAAGTTCTTGGAACCTCTCTAACTCTCTCATAAAATTAGGAAAGGTTATGTGAAGGTTAGTAAAAAAAAAAAACCATCATAATCATATGCAGTGAGTTTGTTTCATGTTGCCTCTCATCCCCCTTGTGATGTATCCAACCATTTCTAACATATAGAACCAAAATGTCCCAAGATCACTTGTTCTTAAAATGAGTTATAATAGTGAATTATGACTATAGAATACATCAAACATTTCAGAATATTGCTATCACTTCCAAAAGAACTGTTCTGCAGCTTAACAACCGTCTGTGCAACCTTTTACTAATGTTTTGAAAGCTTTAGATTTTCAATTTTTATTCCTTATATATCCTATCCAAAATGTAAACATAAAGGTTTGGCTTTATATATGCTTTAACCACCCTGGCACATCATCTATTCTTTTTAAAATGATGATCCTACAGATTTACCAATGATTTCTTTAGGGTGTACATCATTGTTCAGTAATTCAGCATTTATAGCTTTTTCCTCATACTTTTATCAGTATCTCATATAATAAATGCTTTGTATTGCTGTTTAGTTTGGTCTTAGGAAAATACATCCTTTGGTGACATAGTATAACACAATTTTCCCCTGTAATGTCTAAAGTGAAATACCATTTATATAACATATGGCCAGCAGTTTAGAATACATGAAATAAATGACCCATTGCAGATTTTATTCCATGGGACATAACATGTTCTTAACAGCTGCCAAACATTTTCATTAGGGCATATTATGACTGGTGTGATACATCTGAACCTGTCCTGCATGCCTGAAAACATCTTTTTTATGATTCAGCTAAAGAAAAAAATGTTTTGTTTCTAAACGTTGACAAATGTATTAGCATTACTGAAATGCTTCCAGAAGTTTCACAAACTGTTAATGTGGTCTCAAGTGGTAACTTACATCCTTGTGAATTTTTTCTTCCAGCAAATATACTTTGTAAGATTGTGAATTCCTGCTCTTTTGTAGTGAAAAAATATTTTAGTTATTTTTTAAAATACAATTATAAATAGTGTTGTGCTACTCAATCATACCAATGAAATATAAAAACATATATATATATAAGTGTGATATTAAATGTCAAGCAAATACCAAAGTCATTACAATAATAAGTCCCATATGGTGTATAAATAAATACAATAAACCAATAACAGTCTCAGTGATATCTATCCATTCTGTGAAAAGTCTATTAATAATACCTCAACTGAGAGTGCTCCAACATTGGAAGAAATAGCCGCTCACCTGAAGTATTGGACCCATATACACAAATATACAGGCATACAGACTGGATATAGATCACTCCATCCATCAACCAGATTCTCCCAAAGCAAACTTAAGGACCAGACTATCAGGTAGCAGCAGGTTCCCTTTAAACCCTACGATTCGATTGGTTAGTTAAGTTATTAATTACATTTTGTTGCATTTGTAATGAAATTCGCTTCATTTAGTTTTGTTTCATCTATTTCTTTTTGATTGAATTAACATTTTTCCAATGGATTCAACATATTTGAAATCAATTTGAAACAAATTTGAATATAAAATATTGAATCAATCTGAATTCACTGTAAAGAGTAACTGTTTCTATTTTATTTGAAATGAAAATTTCGAAAGACAGTTATATTCTTTCTGTTATATACTTTTCTGATCTATTCTGTTCTTTTATGTTGTATTCTATTCCTTTACTCTCTATTCTATTTCATTATTTTCTTTTGTTTTCTATTTTATTCTATTTACTCTGTTATATTCTTTTTGAAGTTCAGAATATTGCTATATTCATTCTAGTGTATTTTTCTATTCTGTTCTATTCTATTCTTTTGTTTATATATTCTTTTCCATTCCTTTCTATTTTATTCTTACCTAATCTAGTCTTTTTATTTTTCTTCTATTCTTTTATATGCTTTTATTTATTCTATTCTTTTATAATCTATTCCTTTATTTTCTGTTCTATTTTATTCTGTTCTTTCATATTCTATCCTATTCTTTTCAATTCTGTTTTACTCTATTCTATTCTGTTTTACTCTGTTTAATCTATTCTATTCTTATTGATATTCAGAAGATGGCTATATTCATTCCATTCTTTTTTTATATTATATTCTTTTATTTTTTATTCTATTATGTTCTATTCTATTCCTGTATTTTCTATTATATTGTATTCTATGCTTTTCTATTCTATTCTATTCTATTCCTTTAATTTCTATTCTTTTTATTATATTCTATTCTTTTTTTAAATTCTACTTTTGGATGATGGCTACATTTATTCTATTCTATTCAAATCTATTCTATTTTTCTATTTTATTCTATTCTGTTCTATTCCTTTATTTTCTATTCTATTGTTTAGTTTTCTATTCTATTCTGTTTCATTCTATTCTTTTTGAAATACAAAGTCGGAAGATGGCTATATTTTAACATTCATACATATAATCTTTGAAAAAAAGTAGCAATAGTCAGCAATATGTTTATATTTCAGATTTGTTTTTGAATTCGATTTGGTGTTCGAATTTGATTTAGATTCAATTTAACTTGATTCAAATGTTGGAAGAAATTTTGTTTCATTATTTTGGATTCCTTTAAATTCAGTACTATTGTAACTTGGAAATTAGGATACATCTGAATCTCTGAATAACAAAAATTTCATCTGAATTTTGATTTATAGTGAATTGATCCCCACATGTGTAATATATATATATATATATATATATATATTTTTTTTTTTTGTTTTCTTTTTTAAACACGCCTGAAGTTCTTATTTACTGTTGTATATTTACAGCACCCCTTTTTATCTCTGTCTCTTTTTCCAGGTATATTTTATGTAAAAGTACCAGAAAGTTCTCCAGTAGGATCACCAATTGGAAGGATAAATGCTGTGGATCCTGATTTTGGAAAGAATGCTGAAATAGAATATAGCATTGTTCCTGGAGATGGTGGGAATCTTTTTGACATCAAAACAGACAATAATACACAGGAGGGAATACTAATTTTAAAAAAGGTACTTCATTTACACATTGGACAGTATATATGCATTGCTGGTAAACTGATTTACGTGATTGGCAAGATTATTTGCTATACAAATATTTGTTCAGTTTCTCTATTCTGGAACCATCGGCCCTGAAAAAAAAAAATTCTGGGAGATCTGTAACCATAGGCTGTTTGGAGTCAAACCAATATGGTGGTAGAGGAAGCTACAAAGTAACAGCAGAAAATTTCTATACTCTGTATTGCTCACTAAGATCGGGGAAATTGGTACAGAAAATATCCCAGCATTAAATGAATCACTAGCATACAGCTTGCACAGTACTGACTGCAACTCCTTGAACTTGTGCATGTTTTTGCACAGATTCTTGACTGATTATAGCTGGGTCTGTGCCCATTAGAACAGCCTAATCACATGGTGTTTTCTTCTGGGGCTGCCATCTGCACAACTCTTGAAAGATAAAAGTAAGAGACTGCAATCACAATCCAGAAATTCTATGTAAGAAGATGTCCTATGATGTGACACTATAAGGAAGTGCATTTACATCCTAAAGCCTTAAAATGAACCCTAAATTTCTTTACTTAATTATGATCAACTAATGGAACATACTCACAAACTGCTTACCGAAAACAAAAATACACAACAGTCAGCAGTGATAGAACAGCTTGAGAGGGAGACTTCCATTTCATATACAGTATAAAGTGAAGAGAGGAATTCTTATATCGTTTGAGCAGTAATAAGTGAATCTACCCAAATTCCATTTGCAGAGGGTCATTGAATCTTGCTTGAAAAATATGAACACCTAACTTAGCTGTGCACCCCATTAATTTCTATGGGGCAGGGATTCTTTATACTAAACTCTGGCAGATTTCATATACACTGCTCAAAAAAATAAAGGAACACTTTGAAAACACATCAGATCTCAATGGGAAAAAATATCATGCTGGATATATATACTGAACTAGGACTAGTAATGTGTTAGGAACGTAAGGATGCCCTATTGTTAGATGGATATGAAAATTATCAACCTACAGAGGACTATATTCAAAGACACCCCCCCACCCCGAAAATCCAAGTGAAAAAATGATGCAGCAGGCAAGTCCATTTTTCTGAAATTAATGGTGCTCAGTAATTTGTATGGCCCCCACATGCTTGTATGCATGCCTGAAAATGTCAGGGCATGCTCCTAATGAGATGAAGGATGGTGTCCTGGGGTATTTCCTCCCAGAGCTGGACCAGGGCATCACTGAGCTCCTAGACAGTCCAAGGTGCAACCTGGCAGCATCGGATGGCCCAAAACATGATATCCCAGAGGTGTTCTATTGGATTTAGGTCAGGTGAGTGTAAGGGCCATTCAATGGTATCAATTCCTTCATCCTCCAGGAACTGCCTGCATACTCTCACCACATGAGGCCAGGCATTGTCGTGTGCCAGGAGAAACCCAAGACCCACTGCACGAGTGTAGGGTCTGACAATGGGTCCAAGGATTTCATCCTGATACCTAATGGAAGTCAGGGTGCTATTGTATAGCCTGTAGAGGTCCATGTGTCCCTCCATGGATATGCCTCCCCAGGCCATCACTGACCCACCACCCAAAATGGTCATGCTGAATGATTTTACAGGCAGCATAATGTTCTCCATGGCTTCTCCAGACTCTTTCATGTCTGTCACATGTGCTCAGGGTCAACCTGCTCTCATCTGTGAAAAGCGCATGGCAAGTGGCATGCTGTGGTGCGACCATGCTGTCAGTGGCAGATACACATGATCATGGAAACTCGGTCACATGAGAGCTTGGTCCAGTAAGCATGGGCATAGTTTGGAAGGATGCAGGATGGGGCACACTGCTAGAGCTGGTGGTAGTGACACATTTTTTTTGACTCATTGACATCATCCCTCAAGTTCTAGGAATCAGAAGTCCTCTCCAAGTGCCCAGAGCATATGCAACATGGTTTCCATGCGTTATTTTAGCTTGCATGTCTGGTGGAAATGAGCTGCACTGGGCCAGGGCAGCTGGCAGCTCTTCAAGCTTAGACTGAGCGGTAGCCGACCCCATGCCATCTTTAGCAAGGCAAGGTTATGAGAGAAAGTGGCACTAACCTGATGTACCTTTCCTGGCACATGTCCTCCCTCTTGTGATACAATGGTTTATTGTAAAAGTTTGCTGGCTTTAAGGAGGACCTTTGTAAGGCTAAACAGTTTTGTGGCCACTTTAGCTATTCATATCCAGCCAGTGTTCTAACCTGGAAAAAAATAAAACATTATCTGTCTGCCAACTGCCTCATCTGCTGATTGCCTCCTCTACCTCTTCAAATCCTCAACCCTTTACTCTTTCTACTCTTCATCCATTTCCCCCTTTCCTCTCTTTCTCCTCCTCCTCCTCTTGTTGTGCCTCTGAATCATACATGGTAAAGAACTGAAGCAGTCCCCTTCCTCCATTTACTTGCCTGGGTCACCCCACAGCAACATATTCATAAGCTTATTTAAATCCCTTTTCAGCATTTGACAAATCTGGCCTTTATTTTAGAGTGACAAGAAGAAAGCCATTGTTGAAAGAAAGACATAAGAAGTCCCATTTGCAGTGACAAGCCATGTGGGGGACACAGCAAACATGTTGAAGAAGATGCTCTGGTCAGATGAGACAAAAATTTTACTTTTTGGCCTAAAAGCAAAACGCAGAAAACTAACACTGCCCTGAACACACCATCAACACCGTGAAACATGGTGGGGGCGGCATCATGTTGTGGGGATGCCTTTCTTCAGCAGTGACAAGGAAACTGTTCATGGTTGATGAGAAGATGGATGGAGCCTAATACAGAGTAATCTTAGAAGAAAACCTGGTAGAGTCTGCAAAAGATTTGAATAGAGAAAAAACAAAACAGAGGGCACACTGGCATTGTGCATTACCTTTAAAAGTATGTTTATTAAATTTAAAAGAAGATATTCTACTCACAAAAGTACATGAATATAAGCACATCATATGAGACCACTCTGTCCAATTCGCACTGCGTTTCTGAATGGTGATGAGAATGATGGACATCCAAAATGGCTGACACGTTTTGAGGACTAGCTCTGATCCAATTCTGCATATTGCACCACATTTTGCGGACCTATTTTGGGGTGTTGTTAACTTAACATACACCCCCCCTGCGGTTCACATGAACAGGGTGAGATTCTGATGCGGTGCAGGAGTCACACAGAAAATGCTGCGAATTCCGGACTGCATCAGTGTGAACCCAGGCTTACTATGAGTTTAGTCTCCATTTATATTGTGATGCAGAATTTGTTTTCACTCGATAAATGCAATTCAATTGATGTATTATAACAGAAGGGTCAAAATCAAACAAGCTTTTCCATATCAGATTAGACAGGGTAAACAAATGTTCTTATTAAAATTTCCACCAGAGTGGCATCTATTTAAAATGCTATGCATTGATAACATGCTAATTAAGTAAGGCAAGCAAACTAATTGGTGTCCCAACCTATATTTTGATTTTGCAAATGACAATGCTGTAATTTTGAACGTGGCATCATTTAACTAAAAGTGGGCCTACAGCTTCAATATTATATGAATTGGTCTATGTTGCAAAAACATAAAAAATTGTCCCTATATAAAATAGACACATGTAACAATGAATATATATATATATATATATATATATATATATATATATATATATACACATATATATATACATACACTATATTTTTTTATTATGGAATAAAACATTTTTGGGAATTTGGATTTTTTTCATTTTTGGAATAAAAGTCATAACCAAAATTATGAGGGGCATTCAAATCAAAGCCGGACTTAAGAGTTGATATAATAAAAAGAACAAATTTCAAGTAGCAGAAACTGCATTTACTTTTCAACATACTCTCCTGCTACATTTATACACTTATCCTAGTGTTTAAAGCGGAGCTCCACCAAAAAGGGGAAGTTCCGCTTTAAGGAATTTGACAGGTACCCGCCCCCACTTCTGGTCCGATAGCCTAGGCAATCGGAAGCGGAAGGTGTCCTCCCTCCCTGTAGTCTTTTGGGACATTTAACAGGTCCCAGAAGACTACAGGACCATTCATGAAGCGCAGCGCTACTCACGCATGCGCAGTGGGTACCCGGCTGTGAAGCCGCAAGCTATCACAGCCGGGTGCCCACACTGAAGATGCCAGCCTCCTGGAATACAGGATGGACAGTGAAATGGGCTGCGAGGGACACACCACGGGACCGAGGGACAGGTAAGTGGCCGTTTTTAAAAGTCAGCAGCTACAGTTTTTGTAGCTGCTGACTTTTATTTTTTGACAGGGTAAGTGGAACTCCACTTTAACTAATGCCTGGAAAGCTTCAGCATAGAAAGATTTTCAATACACCTGAACCATCTTAGGACAGCCTGCTTCACTTCACCATCAGTGCTGAAATGCTGACCACAGAAATATTTCTCTTTTTTGCAATTTCATGACAGGTTATGCATCAGTTATCCAGGATTAGGTGATCTACGCATTGCATGTTCACATAAATGACTGTTGTGGGTTGGGAACCAGCACCCCTGCGACATGTGCGCTGCCTATCAGTAATAGGACACACTTGCCAATTACTACTGCGTAATGTAATTTCAAAGTGTAGCACCTAAAACTTCTGTGAGAAGCATTGGCTGCAGTATTAGCTAGTACGTTATAATAGCAGCACAAGTGCAACAAGATGCAGTAACCGAAGGTTGTTATGGTAAGTATGGATTGTAGACCGTAGCAAGCAAGCTATATGTTGTAGGGCAGCAATAGATATTAGGAGATGTTTAATTCTAGTAAATTATTATGATGGTCATATTTAGCCTAGTAAAGATAGCTATTGATGAATGCAGTAATCAGTTAATGATAATATGCTCAGTCAAGAGTTGAAAATAGTGCCAGTTTTGTCCAGAAAGGCTTCTGACAGTAAGCGAGCAGCAAAGCACATATAATAAGATAGTAAAGGAATGTTACTAAGTTGAAAAATGTCACAGATGGCAACTGTGCATACCTGT